ATTTCTTTAGGTCCATACTCAAGCCTAGGAGCTCATCACAGTACTATTAAGCAGATTAAGAGCTCTCAGCCCGACTGAGGAAATTCTCTGCTCCAACGCTGAGTTAATAACCATTTATAGAGGTAGACTGCAGCAATTTGCATACAGTGCTTCGCTCAAAACACAAAACATGAGTGTCTGCACCGAGACCTGAATTCACAAAGGCCCGATGAGGAATTTGAAGCCTAAAACATGGCTTGACACTCCCTTTTCAAAACATACAGGGCTTTCCTCAAAAACACTCTGCTCCCTAATGATCTACAAAATCCTGGATTCTAAGATCTGTGTGCAAGAACAGCAGAAGAACAGCTCTGGGATCGTTTCTAGGGGGTTTAACGGGCAGGGCTTGCACGAGGCGGTAAGCACGCTGTTGTTTTTGAAACGCAACCTGGTAGGGTCGACCTCGAAGCTGATCTGCTGCCACTCTGGGGTCGTGATCACACCTCTCAGGAGGGGCTCCAGTAGCTTCTGCAGGTAGGTAGCACCATAGACCTGAAAGACGGAACAGACAAAGAGCACCATTCAACTACACTCTGGGATATCATTCAAGCCAAACCAGATGCTTATTATCATCATGATTCTTTTCAGTTTTTTTGTTTCCTTCATGTTTTTTGGGGGGTTTGCAAAGCATAAGCAGACCACTGTAACCCTGGATGAGAATAAAAAAAATGTACAGGACACTCTGCTGGTGACTCAGGTCACAGTACGTGTTAAACATGGTGTTTAACCGCTAATACTGCCAAAAACAGCTGATACTGAGCTTTTTAACAGAGCTCATAAAGCATCACTCATCTAAACCAAGTACCACAACAGTTGCTCTTATAACACCGTTTATTAGCAATGCATCTACTTAGGAGCTGAAGGAATAAGAATGTTAATGCAGAAGCAGGAAACAAATTTCCTGCTGCTTTACAGAGGAAGTAACTTAAGGCAGAAAATTGTCACTTTTTTTAACTGATACAATCAAGACGCAAACGAGAGGGGCAATTCAGCCCGCCTTGCTCGTATGGTAGTTCAGAAGCTGAGTGAGCCTAAATATGAGCGGCAGGACGAAATTTATTTCCCCTTCTTGCTGTTCTATTTTCCCTCCAGCCAACATGGGTCTCGCTCGTGAAACAATGCGACGACGAGGTCAGACTTGCACCTTGAAACAGAAGGTCATGATTTTACTGGCCAGGCTGTTCCCCCTGAAGAGCGTCTGCATGGAGTCGGCCAGCTCCACCTCCTTGGAGAACATATTCCACAGCAGCTGGTAGAGGAGGTGCCGCGAGTCGAACAGGGTTACCAGCACTCGGGCCAGCTCGTCCTGCGAGGGGGCACACACCAGTTACGCACACCATTGAGGACGACGCCTGCTCACATGCACTGTGTGTAAGAACTCGGATTCACTCTGCCCTGACATGTGTCTAGCACGTGCTGCCCGGTTACGTCGGCCGCCACCCACCCACTGCGAGCAGGGCACCACGTTGGCCAGCGCCATGGCGATGGGCAGCTCCCCCTGGTCGCCCATCATGGTCACGAGCTCCACCAGCCTCTCGAAACGGTCGGCCAGGACCGTCTCGGCCAGCGTGTCGAACTCCGTGCCCTGCTGCAGGATCTTCGTCAGCACCTCCATGAAGGTGGCTCGCGTCTGGAGGTCCTTGTGATAGCCGAGCCCTGGCAGGAGAAGGGCGGAGAGGCAGAGGAGGGGACAAGGGCAGGGAATGAGAGACAAAGGAGAAAAGGCACCCTTGCAACAGACACCTCTTATGCAACAAGCCAACAGTTAAAGTAGCTCACTACTAGATCACAGCTCTGAAGTAGTGTGGGCTTAATCACTGTATGACACTATCACTTATCGCATTTAAGCTACAAGTAGCTTTGAATCTTTAACAACCAACTACTTCTGACAAGCAGCAATCAAAATCAGCTTGCACACGACATCAGGCCAACAGATCTGGAGTGGGTTCTGTGTGCAGCTTCGCTCTCGGCAGGCATGAGCGGGGAGGGCGCAGCTGCCCAGCTCACCTATGGAGTGCATGAGGCCGCTGTCCACGTTGGCGTTGAGCAGGTTGGACATGGCGAGGACCGTGCAGTGGCGCAGGGACGCCAGGCGGCGGGACATCCCCCGCTTCCGCCCCGCCGTCTGCTGGCCATCATCGTCCACCTCGCTGCAGTCGTTCAGCAGGTTCATGAACAGAGTGAAGTACCTGTGCAGCGCCGAGAGGGATCGGAGGGTCGGTGCGGAATACCACGGTAAAAACAGAGTAAACGCAGCGGCATGGCGGCCCCCGCAAAGAACGACATGGCTGCCGACACAAAGCCATGGGAAATGCACGAAACAGAAAGGATAAAACGGCATCATCATATTTCAGAAGTGCTGGGGTCAACTTTTCTCAGGCTCCAAACCCTGTAGTTGGGCATTTATGTACTCTGATCCTCACAGCCCTTACAATTGTGTTCAACCTTAGCTCCCAGCCACATAGCTCATCCTTTAATTATGCATTTAGACAAAATTACCAGTGTTATTTTTTGTTTTCAGCTTTAATGCAGGAGACATAGGTTGCTCAGCAAAAAGCAGTAACTTTGATATGTGCAAAACTCAGGAGCTGAAGTGCCTGAGGGCTTTTTTTTACTGATCTAGGACAAGTCTCAAACAAGGAAGTTCTGGAGCCCCTTAACCTTAACACCGTTTTGTGACTTGACAGAGACTCAAAATGAAAGTCTGCAAAATGCCTATACTTCCTCTATGAATACATCGATATTTGAAAAAGATGCAAGAAAGCAGAAATAGTTGCTTTCAAACGTTAACTCTTATTTGTCTTGGTCGGATTTTGTGTTCTTCAATTGTACTTGTGATGATTGTTTTGCAATATTGTACCA